GGAGCTCAAAGGACAGGGATGGAGCTCCAGGAACAGGGATGGAGGTCCAGGAACAGGGATGGAGCTCCAGGAACAGGGATGGAGCTCAAAGGACAGGGATGGAGCTCCAGGAACAGGGATGGAGGTCCAGGAACAGGGATGGAGCTCCAGGAACAGGGATGGAGCTCAAAGGACAGGGATGGAGCTCCAGGAACAGGGATGGAGCTCCAGGAACAGGGATGGAGCTCCAGGGACAGGGATGGAGTTCCAGGACAGGGATGGAGCTCCAGGAACAGGGATGGAGCTCAAAGGACAGGGATGGAGCTCCAGGAACAGGGATGGAGCTCCAGGAACAGGGATGGAGCTCCAGGGACAGGGATGGAGCTCCAGGAACAGGGATGGAAATCCTGGGACAAGGATGGAGCGCTGGGGACAGGGATGGAGCTTGAGGAACCAGGATGGAGCTCCAGGACAGGGATGGAGCTCCTGGCACAGGGATGGAGCTCAAAGAACAGGGATGGAGCTCCAGGAACAGGGATGGAGCTCTGGGAACAGGGATGGAGCTCAGGGGACAGGGATGGAGCTCCAGGAACAGGGATGGAGCTCTGGGAACAGAGATGGAGTTCCAGGAACAGGGATGGAGTTCCAGGAACAGGGATAGATCCCAAAAAAGTCATGGAAGGAGCTCCGGGGACAGGAATTCCCATAAAGCCAAGGATGGATCTCAGAGGACAGGGATGGAGCTCCAGGACAGGGATGGAGCTCCAGGAACAGGGATGGAGCTCAGGGGACAGGAATGGAGCTCTGGGAACAGGGATGGAGCTCCAGGGAGAGGGATTGATCCCCATAAATCAGGGATGGAGCTCTGGGGGCAGGAATTCCCATAAAGCCAAGGATGGAGCTCCAGGGACAGGGATGGATCCTCATAAAGCCAGGGATGGAGCTCCAGGACAGGGATGGAGCTCTGGGGACAGGGATTGATCCCAAAAAAGTCAGGGATGGAGCTCCGGGGACAGGAATTCCCATAAAGCCAGGGATGGATCTCAGAGGACAGGGATGGAGATGCAGGGGCTGGGATGGAGCTCCAGGGACAGGGATGGAACTTTAGGAACAGGGATGCAGCTCCAGGGACAGGGACTGATCCCCATAAAGCCAGGGATGGAGCTCCAGGGAGAGGGATGGAACTCTGGGGACAGGGATGGAACTTTAGGAACAGGGATGGAGCTCCAGGGACAGGGATTGATTCCCATAGAATCAGGGATGGAGCTCCAGGACAGGGATGGATCCCCATAAACCCAGGGATGGAGCTCCAGGAACAGGGATGGATCCTCATAAAGCCAGGGATGGAGCTCCAGGACAGGGATGGAGCTCCAGGACAGGGATTGATCCCCATAAACCCAGGGATGGAGCTCTGGGGACAGGGATTCATCCCAAAAAAGTCAGGGATGGAGCTCTGGGGACAGGAATTCCCATAAAGCCAGGGATGGATCTCAGAGGACAGGGATGGAGCTCCAGGGACTGGGATGGAGCTCCAGGAACAGGGATGGAGCTCAGGGGACAGGAATGGAGCTCTGGGAACAGGGATGGAGCTCCAGGGACAGGGATGGAGCTCCAGGAACAGGGATGGAGCTCCAGGA